ATATATATGAATAGGTTTTGCTATAAACAGGGCTGTGTGAATGTACGCCTCTTAACACATGTAATTCTCAAAGGGATATCACATGCTATGTGTTTTATAGGTTTATAATTTAATTTCTGTGTGGTAATTTCACTGAGTAAAGGATTTATAGAAACAAACTATAAATCACTAGAACAAAATAAGCCAACACTTTTTCATTAGTGAGTGTGAATATGCAGTTCAATGACTTGTGTGCCTTTATTGGAAGATCACAAAGGCAGATTGTTCTATGTTTGTGACACTTCTATTTGGCCTTAACCAAAATCTTTCATTATCTCTCATTCTCTGTTAACATGAACTCTGGCTGGAAAGAAGTGCTAGTTATTGATATTGTGCATGTAAGAACAGAGAATTGAAATTTTCATTACAGAGACGAACTGGAGGACAGCCAGACTATTTAGGTAAATCACAGATATGATTCAAAAGGCGATCCACGAAGCTGCTACCATTATGCAAATGTGTGTTTGAAAAAAGGGTTTCATAACCTCAGAGCTATTTGCAGAGAAATTGTTCAAACTCTCTGTTAATGATGCAGAGGGATTTAACATGAGAATTTCACAGTCAGTTTATGGCACCGTTGAGGAGTCATACGGCTGCTCCTCGTTTAATAAGTATTTCAGTCTGACTGTTTAACTTAGAGTAAGGACAGAGTGTGAAAACCTTGTGGAGATATTTTATAGGAGTCCGAAAGAATCTCACTAAGCTTTTTTTGGTAGTGGCCTAGTGAGCCAGTGGTGCTCCTATGCAAACACACTTACTCACATTTTTATGCGTCCAAGCGCTGATACCCTCCGACTTCTATAAAAGCAATCCTTGTGTGGAATATATAACATGATTTAATGCACCGCACATTTTTTTGCCCCACAACCTGAGAAATACAAGTAAAGCAATTTAGATTGGAGGGAAATATTCAAGGCCTGTAATGAGAATGATTTGGGGTTAAGAAAGCTGCTTGGTGGGGTGTACCCTTAATAGAAAGACCCCGGAGCCATTGGATTCCCATAAAGTCTGTGGAGCAGACTTGATACCCATAGGTCAGTGATTGCTAATAAGAAGTCAATGAGACATGGGCTCAGGTTATTTTCCTTTGGATCTGCTCCTCCAAACTTGCCCGGTCCTCTAGGCCGCTGACCTCGGAGTATTTAGAAGGTATTGTCTTTGAAATTCCAGGTACTTTTGAGCTTGTAGACTTTCTCATTAGTTCCTTTTGAACACGGCAAACATATGGCAGTCGTATTTAAGAGATTGCCTGCCGTGACCTTTTGCGGCATGCTAATTAGGCCCCAGAGCACCGCAGGCCGTGGAGAGGTGCACTGAGAAACCCAGCAGTCTCTTTCCCACTTCTCTCTTTCTGCCTCTGTACTCCTGTCTCATCTTGGCTCTGCCTTATCTGGTAGCAGCCGCTGCCCCTGCCCTTCGACAGTGTGGGTTTCAAAATTAACATTTCGCTTCATGTGCTTCTAATAACCACTAACCTGAACCTGTACAACTCCCCTCTTCCCGTCCCCACCAACTCCCAACCCCTCTTTCTCTCATTCTCTCGTCTCTGGCTCTTTCCACAGGAAATAAACGTGCCCAAAATTACTTTGACCCGTTGTCGGCAGAGCAGACAGACCCAAGGCATTGCAGGATGGCTGGGGTCAGCGCTGAAGATGAGCTGGAATTAAGTATGCCATTCTCTGTCATAATAGTTCTCCCCGGTTCATTAAAGTGAGGTGAGAGAGATCACCGGTAGCAGGCCACCATTTCTGACGACAGGACAGTCTATGTAAATACACCAAGTGATGGCATCACTAGATTGGCTTCCCAACTAGCTGTCATTGACGAAGGTCGCGTATCATTGGTCAGTTTTCATTTCACCATGGCTTTTTCTTTCCCCTGTCAAATGACACACGCAGAGCCATATCAATAGTTTGCAGCCCCCTCCTAAAGTAGGCCTATTAAAAGCGAGCTCTTGGGAGCCAAGTAATATGCATGTTATAATGAAACATGGCTATTAATGGAGAAGCCATTTTACCTGTATCTTTTGGATATCACTGCCGTGTAATATCAAAGGATTCGCCAAACCAAATCTCATCACATGATGACAGGCCGGCTAACAGGCATGTTAATGCTTCTATTTCATTACCCCTCTGCATACACTTGATTTTCACCCCTCTCCAGCCACGGCTAATATCTTCGGTTTGCATGTTAAGATGTGGTTTAGATTGACTTGCCTGATAAGTAGAAAGTAATTTTGAAGCACACAAATGCATGTATGCATGTAATTTTCCAGCACCTATGAGGGTGTACTCATTTTATAATTGTTTTGACTTGTAGCAATATTGAATGCTGATGAAAACAGACTGTACCAAAGAATGGCTGCATTGCTGGATGAGGACGATAGCTTCATAAATATACCTGGTATGTATCCGCATATTAGTATGCTCCTGTATATTAGTTATTTATAAGCAGTTGGTTGTTTGGACCTAATCCAAATAGCAAAGATATATTTTTTTTACAACTTTAGTTTAAAACAATTGCTTTATTTTTTACGTTACATTGCTTCATTTTACAATTAATTACATTTTCAGTTCAGTAGTTTATTCCCTTGTGATGACTAATCACTTGACATGTCCTGATTGTATTTTCCTGCCAAGATCATGTCTGTAAATGTATCTAGTTTGAAGCAACATTTTTCACACTGTTTCACGTCTTTTAATTTACATGGTAATATATTGATATTCACCATGAAACCAAATTACCAAAGTTACCATTTGAAACAGTGATTGTAAATGATTGGAGTAGTTCTGTCTTTAGGAACAGTATCTTAAGGAAAAGCTCAAGATAGTGAAAACATAAAGAACCCAGACAAAAAGACGATGCTACATTTATCACTTACACTGAAAGCAGCACTAACATAAAACAAAGAATAAGACTAGAAACAGACCCTCACTAGTAGTCAGTGCTTTCCAAGCACAGCCATTGTCTCGCAGTAGGCGTGCCTTTTTTTCATTAGCTCAGTTTCATTTAAATATGTAGCCAACCAGGCAACATTGAGGTGGTTTAAGCTTAGCATTGTTCTGGGTGAAGACAGATCCTGTTGACATGACGCACATCTCCCTTGTAATTCCAGAGCACAAGTGATGGGTTTAGGCCCGCTTCAACACGGTAGAATTTAGCCGGCTTGTATTATTTGCCATTGTCTTGGATTTAGCTGTACCACCGAGATTAGCAGCCCCATCCATTGTCTTGGAATGTTCATGAAATCCCACAGAAAAAGTAAAGAGGATCTTGGATTAACAGTTCCTCCATGCAATAGGCTGAGACACAGGGAAGGAAAGAGAGGGAGGAAGAGAGAGAGAGCTCTTACTTCTGTACTGTTGGAGTCCAATGCTGTGACTGCCAGTAAGCACTTCACCAAGCTACAATAGACTTTAAGACAATCACCTGCTGTTGTATGGATGCCTCCCACCGGTGTAGGCCACAAGTCCTCTTTGCAGCTGCAGTACTGGGCTCAGTGTATGTCAGTACTGATCTTGACATTTTGTGACTGCTTCTCAGGCTTTTGTTTTTGCTTTTACAGCCTGCCACAAAGCGCCACATTCACAAGGAAGAGCATGAATAAGACAAAGTATTAATGAAATGGACATTGGCCAGTGCTGTAGACATTTTTTCAGAAAAAAAATCCGGCAGAAATCCTTTCTGTCTGTCTAAGATCTTCAGTTCTTCCTTTTTATCTCGATAAATTCTATTGCTTTGGCTTGCAGATGAAAGACAGAACTGGCATTCTATTCATTCTAGTTCTCTGTGAGGCGTTAGGCATTGATATCAGCTTCAATGTGAAAAGCATTAGGCAGTGATAACAGCTTTGGCTGTTACACATTTTGGACTGCACACGTTGAATACACAGAATACCTTATGCTTTCTACCAATGAGACGGTGCAGCAAGACTGAAAAGACACACAGCAAGCAGGTTAGCTACTGTAAATGCTGATGCTATGCTTTCAGTACCAGAAACAAGAAAGTAGTTCATGTAGCGTGCAGAAGAAAACTTTCTTTCAATACATGGGCTTGTTCACAATTTGTTGTGGAGGTTGGTAAGTGAAAACATTAGAACTCGAAATTAGCATAAAGCCACATCCTCTTAAAACACCTTAAAGATAACAGATAATACATCTTCCTTTGATTCCTTGCATAGAAACAGCTCAGTTCAACTTCATGTTCCCTATTCTACATCTACTCTTAACTTAAAAAACTCCTGTTGATTATTTCATATTAAAAGGATTTCGGATGAATGTTACGAGATATTTCCTTTTCTTGACTGCAAGCATATAAGCCAAAATATATTTATTTTTTTAATAGCAAAGCAGGCTAATTTGGTCCTTCCTGTTCATGTATAACTAAGGTTCCACCTTAATATGAATATGTCAAGATCAGGATATGAGGAATAGGTGTGAATATGATACTGTGGTTTTGTGAATGCTCACATTGTATTTGTGTGAGTTACTCTCTTAGAGTACATCATTGTCCACCTGTATACATGTCTGTGTATACAAACTCATCTTGGTGAGTGTGTGTCTGTTTCTGGATGTGGTAAGTATGCGCATCCATCAGTATGTGTATGCTTGTGTGTGTGTAGTATGCGCATCCATCAGTATGTGTATGCTTGTGTGTGTGTGTGTGTGTGTGTGTGTGTGTGTGTCTGTGCATGCCCACTGATGCGTAACTCTCCAGGTACGCTGCTAGCCTCCAGGGATGAGGAGGTGTTGGAGGTGAAGGCGGGTGATCCGGTGCTTCAGCGGCGACTGCTGCTCCATGGTGGTGATGCCTCGGGCTCCAGGCCCTCCCAGGCCCATACCATTGCCAAAACCCAGGCTGGGGCTAGTGCTGGGCTGGAAGGAGAGGCTGGACTCGAAGCAGGGAGGATGGTAATGGGCAGAGAGAGCACTGTAAAAAGTAATGCTATGCTTTTATTTGTTATGTGCCTGATTTCTTATTTGAAGTTAGTATAATATAGCACTAGCACAGGCATAGTATGATTGTGTAAAATGTATTTTCTTTGAACATACTTGATATAAAATGAATCATAAAAAGCTAGCGAGGAATCATTCCAGGACTAATTTGTTAAATCTTTTGTCTCTGGACAGTATTTTATGCAAACCGATTTTATTGGTGGATTGACATGATGGGACACACACAAAGAATTATGCGTAATTCTGCAGTCATATTTTATTTTTGATAAATATTATAAGGCTATTGATGTATAATTTCTTGCAGTGGCGACAGCTAAGGAGGTGATCCCCCACTATACCCAGCAGCTTAGGGAGCGTGTGCGGCCTGACATGATCACGCTTGGCAGCCTTTCACTGCAGCAGGTCAGGGCTACAAAGAGGAATATCTGTGTCATCATCCCATATTCACCAGCACATCAGCCATGTCCATTATGTTGTGTATCAGTGACTTTGGCTAATGGACATAGAGTGTGTGCATGTGTGCGTGTACATTTAACTGTTTTGTCTATTCACATGCCCGTGTGTATACGTATGTGTGTGTCTTACATACTCGGCTTACTAATTTCCTTCCTCTTTCTTTGCAGATTTGCTTTTCTGCTCCACTTTTTGTCCCCAACCTTTTTTTCCCCACTGTTACCTTTATAAAAGTTCTGCATTTCATTTTCAGCGCAGATGGTTTGAATCTCAGCTGAATGCACTCATGTGAAATTGCTTTTTGTAGAACATGCATTCAAGGTTAGATAACTCATTCATCCTCAGCTCTGAATAACTGCATGGATTTCAGTGATATAATCTATGCTACATATGATATCCTCACACAATTAATTTATTTGTAGAGACATTTTTTTTCTGTCTTTGAACTTTGTTGTGCATTATTATGCATATTTGTTTCTGACAGTAGCTGAATTTGCTTGGTTCTTTACTCGTCTTATAGTCCTTTCAGGAAAAATAGAGCGTGACTACTTTTTATTTTGCAACTGGGGAGTAGGGATATTGTGAACTAGCATTAAGATCTGAAGCCTCTTTCAAAACAAGTGTTTGTATTCCATCAGTCAGAAAAGAAATGGGAGAATATGGGGTTTCCATTGTGTTGGCAAATCTAGATTGTAAAGAAACCCAAACATTAATGCATATGAAAACAGAATGCAGAACTTCTATCCACTGTATTTTTAGTTTTAATCTCGCTTGAAAAGAGAGTAGGAGTATCAAATTATATGAATAGAAAGTCAACGTAATTGGGAAAAAATGGTTCAACAATGTGTCAGTATCACTTGGAAGCCACAGCAACAGTTGACTCATCCTCTCTTACTGGATAATCAGTGGCATCTACTGTGTACTGTATCAGTATTGGGATCAGTGTTATTTTATTCTGCCATAATATGTATGCGCTCTCCTGCTGTTTCCACACCCACCTCCCATTGAAAGCACATTATCCACCAGAGATTTCACATCTATTTTAAAAATAATAGTGTTTTTCTTCTTTCTCTATTCTGCCGTACAAAGCCTCTACAGGGCGAGACGCTGTCACTTAGCAGTGTCAATGCGTTTGAATGGGGAGTGTGAATGTGCTGACTGAATGTAAAACCGGCAGAAATACTCATCAAACGCTACATGTCTTTAGGGCCTGGCTCAGTATTGATTGCCTGCAGATTGCATTACAGTTGCTCCTTGTGCTTAATTCTGCCATTATGGGGCACTGCACTGTTTCATAAAGCTGCATCCAAAGAAAGTGTGCATGTGTATTTACACGTATTTTCAGCAAGAGGCTCAGAAGGGACCACTGAAGAGGAGTGAGTGGGCAAAGAGAAAGAAGACACTAATGGCTTTCTTCACTGGGAATG